GAGAGAGAGAGAGAGAGAGAGAGAGAGAGAGAGAGAGAGAGAGAGAGAGAGAGAGAGAGAGAGAATTTCCATCTGGTGTGGCCCACGTCAGGGTATCAGGTCTCAACTTCTTCTCGGGCATCCATGACAACCAGGTGGGTTTTCATTTACAATGTCATGTCATCTAATACGGGACTCCGCAGACTGTAGAGAGTGCAGCGAGCTGCTGAGTCCGTGAAACTCGGACGAAACAGTCTGTCACAGCCCCTTGTTTGTATGTCCTCTTCTCCCTCTCTGCCTACGGTTCACTGGGCAGTTCTCGACGACGACTTTGGGGGCCTGCACAATCAGTGGAGCTTGTGGTCTAATTAGTCTAATTGGTGTGATTGGATACAAGGCGCAAAATCTTACCAGCCAGCCCTTGTGCCATATGAACGAAACTCCTCAGAAGATTGGGAGAGTGGGAGAGTGGGAGAGTGGGAGAGTGGGATCATGTACTTTGACTTCATACAGGTTTGGAATGAGCTTTGACTTCATACAAGTTTGGGATGAACGTTGACTTCAGACAGGTGCCGCATGGCTGTCGGCAGCTCGTGTGCTGTCAGTGAGATGATGGGTCAAGTCCTATAACGAGCGCGGCCATTTTTTTTTTTTATTTTTTTTTTTTTGCAAAACCCAACGCTGGGGATAGCTTGAGGTGCTGATAGGAGAGCAGGCGCCTCTAGCTATTCCCCGGGGAGCGCTCCATCTATTGGTGGAGAGCTGCACCCGCTGGGAACCGGGCCCAGCGTCCCTCTCACAAATCGTAGAGTTCATCTGAAGAGTTCAGTTCAGTTGGAACATGCGCGGGGGATGCCCCCTCTTCAGCTGCCTGAAGATAGGCCTCCATAACTATTCATCAAAATGCTAGCTACCTCCCCTTCTGTCTGTCTGTCTGTCCTTCTGTCTGTCTGTTCTGTCTGTCTGTTCTGTCTGTCTGTTCTGTCTGTCTGTCTTTCTGTCTGTCTGTCTCTCTCTCTCTCTCTCTCTCTCTCTCTCTCTCTCTCTCTCTCTCTCTCTCTCTCTCTCTCTCTCTCTCTCTCTCTCTCTGTGTGTGTGTGTGTGCTGATGCGGTGCTGAGTCTGGGTGCATTCATCCTCCTTCATCCATGGGTCTTCCCCCCTGCTTCCCCCTTACCAACCCCTAAACTCTTAAGACCGTTAGACCCTGAGCACTCCTTTCAGCCAGAACCTGCATCTTGACTACCCCCCCCCTCTTTTTTTTTTATCCTCCTCCCTACCAATGCTTATCTACTATGGAGGCTTCTGGCCGGGGTGGGTGGGTGGGGGGAGGGGGGGGGGGTATGGTTGCTAATAAATTGCACCCATCGTATCGTATGTGTGTCACCTTGTGTGAGGTCCCATAGGTCCCATGTGAATGGAAGACAGCATGTCGGATGGATGTCGAGCTCAAGCCTGTCCTGCCCTTCCAAATTCATTATTATCAATTCATCAAGTCATCAAGTCATCAAGTCATCAAGTCCAGCACACGCTGCGAACCCAATGCCCCTTGCACTCCGGAGCTTGCACGTGTTGCCACCGATTACTGTACCCGACTACTACAGTAAGAGAGAGGGAGGTGGTGAAACGCAGGCAGGCGAAGTTGTGAATCTTCTGAAATGGAGTTGAAATTGCTGTGCAAGCTCATGCTGGGACTAGTAGCAGTGATCGCACTCGGTCTAGTAGGTGGTGCAAGTGCTGAGGTACACAATAAAACCCTCGACTTCAGCCTACTGGACCCTAACTACCCTTGCTATTCGCAAATTCTGCTAGTGGTACTGTCCTGCAGCAACGATCCCAACCGCACTGAAGACTGCTCCAGGGTGTGCAGCACCACTTCGGCTGCACTGCTCAATTGCACTGTGGGCAGAGCCGACGACGTGACCCTCCAAGTACTATCCTCCGAGCCCTACTTACAGATTTGTGCCCCTGGCGCAATTAATAACCCTTCTGCTTTGGGCGACGTGGCCCCACAGAACCACCCTTGCATTGCACCCATTCTGCAAGCGGTGGCTGCCTGTTCTGATCAGCTCAACGCCACCGAACAATGCTCCACCGGCTGCAGTGCCGCTGCAACTGCGGTGCTGGCCTGCGTCGCTGACAAGAGCGACGACATGAGCCTGGCAGTTCAATCTCAGCAACGAATACAGCTTTGTGGTGCTGGAGCATACAATGCTCCTGGGCCGCCGCCTGCTGACAATGTCATTTCTGTGCCGCCGCCTCCTGACAGCAATGCTTTTTTTGTGCCGCCTCCGCCTCCGCCTCCGCCGCCGCCCGCGGACGATGGTTCTGGCGGGCCCCAAATGCCACCTGACTACCCTTGCAGATCGCAAGTCCTGACTGCAGATTATGCGTGTGCTAATGAGCCCAACAAGACCGAAGACTGCTCCGAGGAGTGCAAAGCTGCCTCGCCTGTGCTTAGTGATTGCATACGTGGCAGAACGGACGTCTTCAGCGACAATCTATCGACCTGGACAGTGTTAGACGTTTGTGGTAACGGAGCAATCAAGGGCTGGGATGCGACGCTGTGGAAACAGGTCTCCAATCACACTTGCAATGCCAGCATTCTGGGAGTAAGTCCTGTATGTCGAGACATCGCAAGGAGTGAAAATTGCACAAGCGAGTGCAAGACTGCATCCAGACAAGCGCTGGCATGTGTTAAGAACAAAAAGGACGAAGTGAGCACCAAAGTACGATCGGAGGAAATGTTTCTGCGATGTAGTGCGGCGGCTTCAGCGGTTTGGCTCAGTGCCAGCACAATAAGTATTGCTGCCCTCATTCTCATCGTTGATTTGCTTCTCCGCTTGTCTTAGACATGCCAGCTCCAATTCTCCCTTAGTAGTAGTACAAAGGGAGGGAAAAAAAAAAGAAAAAAAAAAGAAAACAGAGAGAACCTGGTCCAGCGGAGAGCTAGATTCACAATACTTCTTCGTATTCGTTGATTTTCGGCTAGTTCAAGCTGCTCACAGCACTGCAGCCTTTACCACAAAAAAAAAAAAAACAAAAAAAAACAGAGAGAACCTCGAGAACTCCTCACAGTGAGGGGACAGTAGGGAGATGCACACAGGTATGGCTTCGTCTGGAGGTGATGGGGAGAGATCTGCATCATTTAACCCCCCCCCCCTTCTCCCTCCTCCCCCCCCCCTCCTTCTACCTTGGTCATTGAACGCCAAGTCGCAAAAGTAACCTACTCCCACAAACATAGGTGTCGGATGGTCCCTGACATTTTCCATCCGCGGCTCCTGGCCTCGCAATTTTTTTTTTTTTTTTTTTTTTTTGCCCTTTCGAGGCCGGCCACGGAAACGTCAGAGGAGGTAGTGGTGGGTTTAAGCAAAGAGAGAATAAGTAAGATGTGCTGCATTCATTAAAAACGGATGGATTATGCGGGTGTCCTCTTTTTTGAGATCTCACCACAGTTCTTTTCTGTATGTATGTAGTGCGGGAGAAGTTTGAAATGGTTGGAATCAAACTTACGGCGCAATAATGCGCGGTGCGCGGGGCGCAGTGCGCGCCGGTGCGCTGGGCGCTGGGGGTGAGTGGGTTTCCCCGTGCACGGACAGTAAGTGTGGACTGTGCGCCGTGCGCGGCGCACCTGTGCGCACAACGCACATGGAGGGAGAGGAGGAGGGAGGGTGGAGGTGGAGGAAGGGGAGAAGGAGGAGACTAAGAAAGGAAGGAAGGAAAAGGAAGGAGGTGGGGGATGGAAAACAGAAGAGGGAGAGATGTAAGGGGAGGAGGGATGGAGGAAGAAGGACACGGGAAGGAGCCGCAGGGAGAAAAGACGAGGGAGGTTTGCCCCGCGGGGTTGACAGCGGGAAAAAAAAAAAAAAAAAAAAAAAAAGGCCAGGGCTCAGGTGGCGCGCGAACAGTAAATTTAAATTTCCACGCCAGCTGGCCTTTTTTTTTCCCATTTCATGAACAATCGAAAATATATTAAAAAATGGAAAACTCTGAAAAAGAATTTAAAAGACACGTGGAGGAGGGAGGAGGGAGGAGGGAGGAGCGCGAACGGTGACGACGGGGAAACATGTCGGAGGACCAAGGACTCAAGGAGGAGGCGACAATAGAGGAAGGTCACACCTGAAGAGGATGGATGGAGAAGCGAGGAGGGAGGAAGGATCTCGGATTGAGAAAGGCGGAGTAGAGGTGGTGGGGGGAGAGAGAGAGAGAGAGAGAGAGAGAGAGAGAGAGAGCTGGTGGTGACCCACCTTCATGGCTGGCCGTCTCTTGCCGCGTACCTTGTCGTCACCGGCAATGTCCAGCTACTGTCTGTTGCCATAGGGGGGCAAGGTCCCACTTGCACGGATTAAGAGATTCTGGCCGTTGATCTTTGCGATCTACGGTCAATATCGCTTAATTCGTGTTAGTGGGGACCTAGCCCCGAAACGGAAAACTGGCCCAGCCATGGCCCCAAATTTATTTATTTATTTATTTAGGAGGCAGCTACCTGCGGAATTCGAGTTCGAAGTCCGTATGTCTTCGCCCCGCCAAAAAAGATTGGGACCTTGGCACAGCCGGTTTTCTTTTTTCCGGTTTTTTCACAGAAAGTCATTTATTAAATTATTATTATTATTATTTATTTATTTATTTATTTATTTTTGGACTAAGCCAATCATTGAATTATACCAAAAGAACCGAGGCCGGGGACCTCACAATTCAACCCGGAGTACCGCTGGGAGCATTACCCAGTTTCGCTTACGAGCGTTGCTCAATCATCTTCCATTGGAGCTGTAGGAAATTCTAGGAACATTCTGGCCTAACCGGGCCCCTGTCCTGCTACCTTGCTCCAGTTCAAAACAAAATCTGCTGCAAGCCTCAAACCCTCACAAACCAATAACGACAAACCATCCTACCTATCCATGACCTACCAAAAAAGCCAACCACCAACCTAACCCATACCTAGCTAATTCTACCTCAAGAAAGAAAACAAAACAAGAAAGAAAACAAAACAAAAAGACAAAAGAAAACCGTCTAAAACGACGGCCTAGTCCCCCAGGGGGACTTCCAAGGCACATCCAAACCAGTGCTCCCGTCCCTGACGCCATCTGCCTTCCTCCTGCGGAAATAAGAACCGAGCACTCAGGTTCACAGGTCCCGGAACCAGTCGTCCCATTGCAGTTTCCCTCCCTCCAATTTCACCAATTTACCTTCCTTACCCCATGTTTCCCAAAACCACTTTGCCGATCCCTTCTTCCCCTTTCTTGCCCATTCCGCCTGGATGATCCTTTTCGGTGATGACTTAAAGGCACCTCTGATTTCCTTGTTTGTTAACTCTCTGTTTTCAAAAATCCTCAGATTTCTTTCCTTCCAAATTACATCGCAACCCGCCGCTCGTACCACTTGTGCAACATGCCCCCAGCCTTGCGTTGAGTTTAATGAGTCCGGGATTCCGACCAGTAGTACCCAGATTCGGTCCCAATCAAGACAGTTATTGGTGATCCTTACCCAGAAGCGCTGCCACCAGTCCCAAATCCGTTTTGAAGCCGGACAGTCATACCACAGATGAGTGGTGGATTCATAAGCCCAACTACATCGTTTGCAAGTCATTTCCACCGACACTCCTCTTTGTACCAAGTTGACCGCCGATGGGGTGGCCAACACAGAAAGCAACCACAAATTAACTGCCAATCTTGGGTTCGGTGCACTAGCCAGCTGTCCCCAACAGCTGAGTAGTGCCTTCTCAATGGCACGGGGTTCACAGTCCACAACCTGCCTCCATCTTTCTACGGCTACATTGAGGGGGGAGCGAACAGGAGCTAAGCGTTTGTATCCTAACGCTGTGGAGTAGGATGATACAGGTAAATCACTTCCCTCAGGTCCCTCCCCTTTCCAGCCCCAGAGTTTAGGGTCTAGACGGAGCGTGGTGATGGGAGTACCTTGCATATATACTTCACAGAACCAGTTCCCATCTACATCACAGGATTCCCATACCCGAATCTGGGACAGTCCTGCAGTGAGGGGGGGGTGAGTGAACTCATCCACCAGCGTTAACTGCCCAGCAGGGCCACTTTGAACTCCAGTCCATTCCTGAAAAGATCTCTTACCCTCATTGTCTATGCTCTCCAATTTCCAACAAGAGCTACTGATTGTTGGGTCTTGGCTGATATACCATGTTCCGGGTGGATCAACCCCTTCTGGGCTTAAGAGGAATTTCCAGCTATCTGGTATAGCTTCGAGTAGCTCCTCCCTCCGTTCCTCAACAAGTCGTAGTAGCAGCCCTAGTTGTGTTTTGAGCTCAGCCGGCGATTTCCATCTGTTCTCCATCTCGTTCCAGATATCTGCAATCCTTAATACCCCTTTCTCAATCCACCTTCGTTCGAAGCTGGAGTTAGCCGAGTCAGCTGCAAACCAACTACCATCAGCCCTCCTGATGGAAGGATTCTCAAAGAGAGGTTGCAACAAGGTTTCGGACTTCGTTACAGGTTGCAGCCACGCATTAGGCTGGACCTTCTTCCAAGCCCTGATTATGCCTCCCCACAGATCTGAACTAACTACCCGGTTCTGATACGATGGGAGCTGTAAACAGGTCCAAACATCAGAAGGTCGGCTCAGGTCCCATTCAGTTGCCAGGATAAACTCAGCCATCGAAATCCAATGAGCTTCCTCCGGAGTCAGGATAGCTTTGGTAACCCATTGGGCTAGCATAGTCAAACCTTTACGATGCGGATCAAAACCCCCCTTCTTCCTTTGCAAAACAAAGCAGATCCCAAACAACTTTGGACAAAAAGCCTTCGTCTTCTCCAGCAAATGGTTTCCATAAAAACTTAGCAGCTCTCCTGCGGACTTGGGTACACAAGGGTTTACCTAATGGCCTGACCGCCGCCACAAACCATAGCAGGGCAAAAAGGGCACCATTAATTACCATTGCCCGACCAAACAAGGAAAGATGTGGGACCTTTCCCCACAGTGAAGTTCTCTGCATTATTCTCTGTAACAGAATCCCTTCCTGATCCACCGTGCAAGACAGAAGCGAGACTTGAACACCTAGAAATCTCTCTGAGTCTTTCGCAAGGATACGTTTCATTCCCCAGTTCGTGACTGGTGAGCGTGAGTCAGGGAGGAAGAAAACTGATTTCGACCAATTAACGGAAGCTTCAGACAACTCTGAGTATTCATCAATACACTGTTTGAGGGCAGACATGGATGAGACCGTATTTTCCGAAATAGCAAAGAGATCATCGGGTAAGGCTTTAACTTGACAGTGGGATGGTCCTACCTTCAGGCCTTTGATCATTGAGTTTCCTCTAATATTACATAATAAATTCTCAATTTGAAGTACGAATAGTAAGGGAGCCAACGGACACCCTTGTCTCAAAGATCTAGATAAGGCGAATGGCTCTGAGAGATGTCCATTTACCATCACCGAGGCCGTGGAGAGAGAATAGAGAGCTACGACCCAATTACAGAGGTTGTCTCAAAAACCCAGATGTCTTAGAGTAGTAAGGACATAGGTCCAATTCACCCGATCATATGCCTTTTCTAGGTCGAGCATGAGGATAGAGATGTTAACATCAGTTTTACCCACAATCTCAAGGGTTTCAACTGCAGTCACTATGTTGTCAAAGGTCGAGCGGCCTTGGACAAAGGCTGCTTGATCCTTCTCCACCAAGGCTGGTAGATACCTGCCCAAGCGGCGTGCCAGCACTTTGGCTAACAGTTTGTACGAAACATTAAGTACCGAAATGGGCCGCCAATTTCTGATCTCTGAGCGGTCTTCTTTCTTGTATAGTAACGAAATAATACCGTTCCGCATGCCCTTAGATAACACCCCTCCCATCAGGACTTGATTGTACAAGTCCACTAATTCCTCTTTAATTGAGTCCCAAATAGCAATATAAATCTCCACGGGGAGATCATCGTCCCCCGGGGCTTTGCCATGCGCCATTGATCTCAGAGTCTCCCCTGCTTCCTCTGTAAAGATTGGTCTATCCATATCTAGCCTGCCATAATCAGGGAGTCTGGCTTTAAACATATCCCAGTGGTTTGA